CACAGTGAGATTTTGGTCCTCAGGTGACCATCTACCAGCCGGCTGAAGGTCGAGGCCCCCCCGTCCTGAACTGCCCCCCTACCCCACCTGAAGATATTTTCATCTGCAGCTATGAGGACCTTCCAGGTAAACAGAATGGAAGCCTTAATGTCATGTATGATGTCTGCTCAGTGCATAAAGAAATTGTAAGGAAGAGGTGGAAGTTGCAGTGCAGTGGTATCGGTTCCCCGTTTACTTCTGTCAGAGCACTAATAACCTTCCCCCACAAACCAGACACCCCTGAACATCCCCATAAGCATTTATAAAAGCCAATTATTCCATGGGGGCAAAATGAACAATTCTCAGTGTTAGATATGGCAGAATTGTAAGTGTATATACTGATGTCTTTTTATTTGAAATTGTCTTCGCAGAGAAATACTGGAAGAAGTATCAGTACGCCAGTAAGTTTGTTCAGCTAGTTAAATCGAAGACGCCAAAGGTCACCCTTTACACAAAGTATGCCAAGTGTATGCTGATGGAGAACTCGCCCAGCGCCGACCTGGAGGTCTGCTTCTACGACGGTGAGTGTGGCTGGCTTTTTCTTAAATCATGACCCATAATGTGGTTTCAAACACCAGGTCACTTAGAATTAAAGTAAGCGATTTTGTGGTCTGATCAGACCTCAGAGCTTGAAACACCCTTTCATAAAGGACCTGTTTGAAACCTGCAGGCAGAAGAGACTTGGCGTATTCTGGGAAATGCTCTCGGACCTCTGGAAAAAAATTGAGACCACAGCAACATTTTTAGTTTCACTTATTTCTCAGTTTATGGGAATGTGTCTGTAAAATATACATTTTTTTTTGCAAATTCCAGCCTGGCTCTTCCCTGCTTCTCATTCATGAAGGGCTTCTTTCATGCTTTATGGGTCTTTAAGGGCTTCTGGGGAGTCCTAGCAGTGCACTTCACACCACTTAGTGCTCCCCATTTCTTCTGAATGTCACTTGAGGTCATCTTCCGATTTATGAGGGACTGTCAAATAAGTTGATGGTCATTTCTGGCATTAGAAAGTTGCTTCTGTCCTCTACCTGGCTGGTTTTTGGTTGCCAATGTCTCCTGCTTCACCTTGTTCTTGTGTGCTGCTGTCTTGTGACTTTGAGCCTGGAAGCAGCCTGCCGCTCAGTGTAGCCTTCTGCCAGCAGAACCACGATTAAACCAGTGGTCTCAATTTTTTCCAGAGCTGTATACGACCATATGGGGGATATTGAGAGTGAGGCTCAACACTTAACTCCTGATTATGCTGGATGTGATAGAGGCCAGGCTCACCGCTGAAAACGCGCGTTTAGGTAGAATGGGTGTGCTGATGGTCTACTGGATCTCCTCAGGAGCAAAGACGCATAGATCTGCAGAGCTGGTGCGCGTGGTGGAAAGGACGGGGAAGTCCTTCACGGTGAAGGGGGACGTGGGGCTGTCTGGCCTGAGCCCAGAGAGCAGGGCCTACGTGGAGCTGTCTGACCAGGTACCGCGAGTGACACAGACACTGTCGGCCATCTTGGTTCAGCTCCCTGGCTTCCCAAAGAAGAGCACTGTAGAAGCCCAATTTGAAACTGATAGGGGAAAATATTCTACTTTGGATATTTACATGTATTGACTTAGTTTTTTAAAGCAAGTACTTGGCCAGTCTCTGCTTTAGAAGTGGTAAGATTAGTTATTAGTAGCAAGTTGTATCCATTTTGGGTGGGAGGGTCTTGGTATGGGAGGCATTAGATTGGCTCATGGTGTGCGAGTGCCTTGTGGAGATTGACAGCTCCTGCGTCCAATCCAGGGGCACCGTCTGTGCCTGGCTTTGGAGGCTGCGGTCGGCGCGGAGGAGCAGCGCAGCGCCAAGTCCACACCGTTCTTCCCTATCGTCGTCGGCAGGTAACGTGCCTCATGTAGAAATTCCTCCCCTACTGACGCTCTAGTGCAGGGGTCTCCTACTACTGGTATTTACCTGAGAACTAGTGTGGCTCATCAGAAGCCAGGTAGGATAGAAAACCTACTGGATAGTAGCTCTCCAGGACCGGAGTTGGAGACCCCTGCTCTAGTGTAACGTCAGATGTTGGGACGCACACGGTATGTTCAAAGACGATGACATGGATATTTACTGCAATATTTTTCTTTATTTTGTCTTAAGATATAGATGTGTGTGTCAGCTGTTTATAAGATTATGCAGTTATGCATCAAAGTCATTCTTTAACCTCTTTGTCTGGATTTTGTGGTTCCTCCAGGAGACCCATCATCCATCCCGAGGTCCCGAGCGCCACGAGTCAGACGGCCCAGACCAGGCAGCCTCCCCACAGCCCTGCCGAGGACCCCCCCCACCAACCTCACATCACCCCCTCGGTGAGACCCCGCGCCTCCGGATTATCCCCACTACAGCTGCCTGCCAATATTCTCTATGGTCAGTCTCACATCTCAACGCTCTCCTGTCTTTTAGATGATGTCCTACAGTGGCTCAGACTTCACCTCTGCCAGCCTGGCAAAGAGTCGCTCTCCACCTTCAGCCAACGCAGGGAATGTCCTGAAGTCTGTGTTTGTGCCCAACATTGGCTGGGCCTCTCAGGTACCGCCCACTTCTCCTTGGAGGACGGCTTTTTGTGCTGAGCCTCACTTGTGTTCCTATAGTCTGGTTTTCCTGGAGATTTAGAATTAGTGTTAAGGTCCTCTTTGTGTTGGTGCTCCGCAGCTAACTAGCGGGGAAGTCTGGGTGCAGTTCAACGATGGCTCCCAACTGACGGTCCAGGCGGGGGTCTCCTCCATCAGCTACACCTCCCCCGAGGGACACACCACCAGGTAGGACTATGAGCTTCTACATTACGTTGCAAAGCGCTTGTGCAAGGAATTTTGTTTTTGTATGCTTTGTGCACATGACGGACAACCCATAGTATAGACTGTAAATACAGTGGAGCGGTATGCAGCCCAATATGTTGTGGGTTTGAATCCCATGTGATCATATCACTCTTAGTACCTTGAGCAATGCACTGCTGCCCAGCTGCTGAGCCACTGGATCCTGGCTGACCTGGGGCTCTGACCACAAGCTTGCCTCATAATTAAAAGTAATAAATGTAAGAACGTGATGTGAAGTGCAGATAGTAAGTATAGGGTTATTAAAGGGGACTCATAACAAACTTACGGCAAGTACTACAGTAAAGACAAACAGAATAAAATGTATGTACTCTGTGTTCAACTGAGCAGAATATAAGTGTATTTTAACTAGGGCTCAAATGGGTGGGATATTTCCAGAAACTTTCCATTCTATGGGAAGTTAAGCTGAGGAATTTTGGAAATATTCCAAGTTGGAAACTTTCCATGAGAATTAATGGAAATATATAGGAATTAACAGGAAAATTCCCAGAATTTTGCAATGCTAACTAGTCTTTCTGTCTGTAGATACAAGGAAAATGAGAAGCTTCCGGAGCATGTCAAAGAGAAGCTGCACTGCTTGTCTTCCATCCTGGGACTCCTGGCCTGCCCAGCAGGGCGGCGCTGAAAAGCTCTCTGCCTGTAAATACTTTTAATTGTACAGTTTATTAATATAATGTAAAGGAATTTATATTTTTAATGTTTTTGTACTGTAATGTTTTTTTACGCTGTCATACTTCTATACCATAGCTTCGATCAGTTGTAAATGAATAGATAAAATGAACTTAAGCAATAAACATCTAGAAGCTGTGTGTACAAAGAGTCTTGTAAGTGGTCTTATATCCTAATTTTTCGCGTTTTGTAGAAAATTAAAGGTGGTTACATTTAAAAGTGACGGTGAATCTGAAGATTGTGCGAACATAATTGTCTTGGGGGTGTGCAGTCAAGAGGTGACACTCCACTAAGGCTGGCTGTCTGCTTTTCCGTTACCTAAGGCAGAATAGCGAATGCGGAATGCATTGTGGTGCTACTGGGTTTCGGTGTGGATATTGCTGAAACCTTGACAAGCTTCTATCCCTTATTTCCCAATTACACGCATAAGAAAAGCACAAACCAGAGGAAGCCATTCGGCCCATCAAGCTCGCTTGGGGACACTTCATAGTACAATGAATACGGCCTTAAATTCACGAAAATAGATCCTCTCAAAGCGTATGAGAAGCTCTCGGAGGAGGGGGGGGGGTATCTAGCTTTTGGAGCTGTTTTACCACCTGGAATATGAGTGGCTTAGTTAGTAATCTGCTCCGGGTAAGTTTAAAAATTTAAACATTAATATATACAGCGGGTCTCTGGCTATGGGGCTCTGTCATCTCATTTTAAATAAAATAATACCCCAACTCAAACTGATAGGACCTAGCGAATGATATGCGTGCGTTATACGCAGCTCTCTGCACCGAGCCGCCGTTACCCTGCGCGGCTCCTGCCAGCATCTCGCATTGCAGCCGCTGGTACCGCGGACTATATTTAACCTGCTGCGTTTCAGCGCCGCGGCTCCTCCTGCTTCCTTGTGCTTGGTTTGTTTCCAGCCAACTTAATCTTGTTTTACATTTATAGTTATGCGGTCTGTTGCAGTTTGCTTTTAAATATGTTTCATGAATGTAAGAAATTCTGCATGTACCTGGATTTAGACAGTAAATTCTAGCGGGACGAGGACCGACATTCCACGGACATTTGTTTAATTTTTCTAAAGATAAGTTGTTAAAACACTAAGCACACCGCATTTTTTTTTGTCTTGGCTAAAGGGAGACTGTATTCACAATATTTACGGCCACTGGTTGCCAAGATGATTCGTGCAAGATTCAGCTTTCTAACGCCAGCAAATTAATTGCCACTGAAAGTGTGACATGTGTAACATAACGTGTCGGTAAATGAATGCATTTAATTTATTGTGTAGCGTTATTATAGCTCCCGGGATGCTGATATCACATAGAATCGTGATACTGGGTGGCTTGCACGGAAAAAGTGAAGAAACACCAGCAATCACACGTGTCCATTTCAGATTTCAGTGCGGCGCGCTGGGGGCGGGCGGCGGCGCAGTAGCGCGTCCATGCCAGTAAATATACTTGTTTTTAGTCTTGATTTTTTTTTTTTTACGGCCACTCGGGTAGTTGTTTAACTAGCTAATGATAATTTATCTAAGGTCAGATTTATCTTACACTGCTTTTTAGTAGGTATTTACTTTGCCAACAAAATTATTACAAAAAGACACGGAAATTTTAAGGCCGTATATCTTAAATTGTTGTCTGTTTTAAGTGAAATACACAGCGTCTACTGTCAGAGCTCGGGGGGCCAGAATCGCCGGCGGCATTGTAACGGTAAAGGGAGGACAACTACGAGACGCCTGTGGAAGTGGAAACTAAAGGCGAGGTGACAGCGGACTGCAGACGGAAACCAGCTCGGGCTCTCAGAAAGCAGAGCAAGCAAATGCGCCTGTGGACCTACGGCTGACGCGAGAGGAGGGGCACGGAGACCCTAAATCCGACTCCAGGAGCCGGGGGAAGGGGGTCATGGAAACACGGGCAATAGGCAGAACCGAGCCGGATCGCGCAGAAAATGACGGCAGTGAACATCAAGGGGGGAATTCAGGTGAAAATATCACTGAAGCACCAACACCGAAAGTAAACCCATGGACAAAAAGGCAGTGCCACTCTGATGAGACTAGAAACGCCAGCATTCAGGAATCAGGTTAGTGGGTCTGTGTTCTCGACAAAAAAACATACTAGAAGAACAATATGTAAAATAACCGTCAGTAACATGCCGTCAGCAGCGAGCTGTTAATTGTTATGTTTATGTAGTTTTTGAGGCGAAGTGACTTTGCTAAACTTTTAAATCGGAAGTGCTGGAAATTAGGTAATAATTCACGAAATTACTTATACCAGTTTCGTTACCATATCTGAATGCCATTGATTTTTGTTATTTACATACAAGGACATGAAAAGTGACCAATCAGCGTCGGGGGCGTGGCTTACAGGCGCTTCATAGTAGCGCTACTTTAACTTTCTTCATGATCAACGGGTCTTGTAAAGTCGTATTTTAGCTTCCTCAGTCGGGATGCTGTGTTTTTGACTTTTCTGTTATCAAACAGGACTTCCAGTGAAATTCGTAAAAGCCAGCTTTTGACTTAACGATATTTGATTTCTTAATAAAAACAAGTGTACTTTGTGTTACCTCTTGTCTAAAACGAAATAAAGACAGATAAGAAAATCAAACAAAGGTCGTTTGAGGAATATGTACTTTATTGCAGCTGTTTAGCTGAAATCTTTCAGGTATATCAGAGAGGTCCCGGGGATTGGTTAAAAAAAAAAAAAGTTGCATTATCATTAAATGCATACGCAGAAAATCTTGCAGCCTTTCTCTAGTTATTTATGAATTAGCTGTTATCAGTAGCATGTCAAGGTCGCTTTATTGAGATTTATTGGCCTGCCGATAGCGGCACATTCTGGCCGTCTCACCACCCCCAAGCCCAGTTGCAGTTAAACATCAAATTGGGAAACACTGTGGCACAGGTGAGGGACAGACGTTTCTGCTGACCCTGAAACGCCACAAGCACCCCGCCATGTTTACGCACAGTTGCCTTTACGGTCATATGTGCTCGGCAGTGTGCATGGCGGAGAAGCTGCGGAAAAGACCCGCACATGCAGCTCGCGGGCCGTATCTCTGCAAATGGCATTTATTTGCTGCATATTATAATGGTAGAATCTGGTAGAATGGTTAAGTAGAATCTACAGAGAACAGAAATATCTAGTAAGAGAAATGGATTCACTGTAAAATTCTAAAGGATCATACAACTTATGCCTAACAGCTGACGTCTATAATGTGCGAGTCACACGGCGTACCCCTTGAACTGTTAGCTCAGGTTGCTAACGCATGCTGCTAATGACAGTCATGGCTATGGGCCATGCTAAGCTTCTGTGTGGGTGGCCCAGAGTGTCAGGCCTTCTTACTTGTTTTGGAAGGTTGTGGGTTAGAATCCCATGTGTAGTGGAATAGTTATGTTTCCTTGGGGCCCTTGATCAAGGCCCTTAATCCCCTGAAAAATGCTCCAGGCGTATTAGATAAATGGCTCACCCCAAGCTTTGCTTTTATCTCTGTATGTCTCAAAGAAGCACATATCCCAATATGGTCAAATTAAAGAATTCCTATGTATATGTATAGACGCACCAAAAATGTAAAACCGTGCGATTCTCTCCTTACGTAGATGTCAACATTTGCTGAAAATGAAAATCTATCGCACACATGAAAAAACATGGCATGAAGTTACGGTTGGTAGCAGACGTGCAGAATCCTCGATTTGGGGAGCGACACGATTGTACTTATTTCACGTGTCTCTCGTGCAGAGAAGCCGCACAGCGGAACGATGGGAAGCGCTGCTTCCCCCTGCCTGCCTTTAGCTGAATAACATGATGTGATTTTGGTTTAAGACCGAATGAAAAGAGTGAATACCAGCGACACAATTAAAAATGTAAATATAAAGATCTGTCTATTGTTTGTGGATGATTGAAGCCAAATTAAATATTGGGGGGGGTATATCCCAATCCCCCCCAGTTCCTCAACCCTTTTTTAAGACAACCTGGCATTTGCACAAACCTTTAATAGTAATGTCAAGTAATATTTAATTGGAACATATGAAAAGCGCTTAAGTTGTCATCCTTCATTATTTAAAAAGCTAGTTTACTCTAAATTTAATAGAATTCTTACTTCTACAGGGAAGAAAAGTCCAACCAGAGTAATTCGTGCTAGCAAGCTCAAAGCTAGGAAATCAAGCAAGGTAAGATTTATTCTGTGTTCTGTTATTGATTATTGGTGATTTTTCCATGATGACCAAAATCTGAATTTGGGCTAGACTACCGAAGGCCTGGTGACAAGAGCAGAGAGGAGAGAAACTATTATATCCACTGGGAGACTGTGAACAAAAGACAACAACTGTATTAATAGCTAATGGCTCATCTGACACCAAACGTGACCTCATCATGGTCAAATGTGACCTCATCATAAGCATTATGACATAGCACCAAAAGTTAATTTGAATCCTTACAGTGTATAATCAGAAAAATCATCCTATGTAGAGATATTATTATGTCGTGGTTTTCAGAATTTTTCTCATTCTATTTCTTTTTCTGTACTTTAAACGTGTTTTATATAATCAAGTACATCAAAAGAGAGTCTATTTGCAGGATCACTTTCCTGTAAATAAATGGCATCATTAAATCAGCATATTAAAAGAAGTGACATGTTGCCGATCGTGTGGGAGAAGGTCGATCCGCCTGGCAGGACGTACAGTTTGTCTGTGAGGCTGTGGAGCTGATTGCAGCCTCCCTGTCTCTCCACCGCAGCCAGGTGACCTCAGTGACAACAGCAACTGGCCCACACCTGCAGAACTTGCCCAGAAAGAGGTGAGACCACTGGCTTCGTCTCAAGAGTTTCATGAATTCACGGACTTTCACCAGTGTGCTGGGTGGATTGCGATGACTTTTTGTTACTTGCATTATACTTGCAGTAAATGGGAATCACAGTTGCAAAATTAATGTTTCTTGTGATGGAATTCAAGTTCGTACGTTGCAGTATGTTTCATGAGTACAGGGTTTGTTTTCAATAATTGAAGAGCAAATTCCCAAAACTCACTCAGTTGATTTTTTTGCTGCTTTTGCGATGAGACGGCCAGTGAGCTAAGGCTTCCTAATCATATGCTGCAGTATTGGGAACGAAAACTCACTCAGGCATCCTGTAATCCAATGAAGCACCAGCATGCTGGAAATTTGCTCTTTAATCAATCCTGGGTTCTGCTAGGTTAGACAGAGGCTACGTGAGATTGTTGGGGGTCGATACAGATTTGTAGAGATGTTCGGGACTGATAGAAATCGGAAGGGAGAGTTAAGAAATATCCTGGGATTGTAATGGTTAGAAATGGTGGGTGATGCATCACACTTTGCCTTGCGACAGCATCAAAACACCCTCAGCAACCAAGCCAGGAAGGGACCCCTGGTACGACAGAACGACAGGGTGGAGAGCAGGACGGGACACGCTGAGAGCAAAGGAAGCCAGGAGGGCAAGGAGGAGACGACCAAGGCGGACGCACATAATGGAGTTGTGAGGAGTAGAGGGGGTAAGAGTGTAGCAGGAAGAGAGAAGGTATGAGTGTGGCAGCAATACAGCAGGAGTAAAGGAGGTAAGAGTGATACCAAAAGAGACACCCCCCCCTGTAGGCTGGAGGAGGGAGCACAGGGAGGATAAGGATGAGGGTTCCAGCCTGTGTAGCGATGATGACACTGTGCGCGGAGGCTTCCGTGGGAGAGGCCGGGCTCACGGCAGAGGCCGAGGGCGCGATCGAGGCAGTTCGCACACCACACACAGTGAGTCGCCCTGAATCTCCTTGCTGGACCTGTTGCTGGGAAACAGCCCTGGCTGATCAGGCACCTGACACTGCCAGTGGCGTTTAACAAGCGTGTTTGTCTAGGACACAGTTACAGCTCCAGGGAGCCCCGGCCACACGGAGCGGCCATGCAGGTCCCCCCCGAGTACAGCAGCAACATGATGTATTACTATGACGACGGCTCCCAGGTTCAGATGTACACCGTGGATGAGAAGTTACTGAAAGGGTACATCAAGCGGCAGATGTGAGTGGGACTGAAATGCACCCAGACCTTCTACCGACCCAGACGTTTGGTTTGGGCTGTGACTGTACAGTGGAGCCTTACAGAGCAGCACAGCTGGCATCCAGTGACATTTCTTATAGAGTTCAGTAGTTCGGAAGCTGAATGGAGGTACTTTGGAAACTGGATGACATTTTCAGCATTTTATGAACAGTCAGGTTTTCTTACTGTTGAGCATCATAACCCACAGCGTGCTGTTGGACCTTAGGAGGCCTCTCCGAATGTTTGACACCCCAACTCCTCTCTTTTTTAGTGAATATTACTTCAGCCCAGATAACCTGGAGAGAGACTTCTTCCTGAGGAGGAAGATGGACAGACAAGGCTTCCTCCCCATCTCCTTGATCGCCAGTTTCCGCAGAGTTCAAGCCCTGACCACGGACATCAACCTCATCTATGCGGTACGAGCTGTTCCACGTCGCTTACAGAGCTCTCCTCAGCCAGGGTTGCTAACAAGCGGCGAATCACAAGGCTGTAACTGAATACATGCACCACACAGACAGGGTCAGGAGGCCTGGTTACCTTCTGGCTGCGCATAAGAACGGCTGAGACATGTGATCTTAGTGGTTTTGCATGTGTTATGATTGTTGGTGCCAGACGTGCTTCCAGCATCTCAGAAACAGCTGGTCCTCGTGGGATTTTCACACATCGCAGCGTCTAGAGTAGTGAGATAAACACAAGAACATCCAGGAGCCACATTTCTGTGGACAAAAACACCTAGTTAATGAGAGAGAGCAGAATGGCCAGACACGTCACAGGTGACAGGAGGGCCGTAAGTGCAAAAGTCTGTTAATGCCAGATGGCTTCTCTGAATGCCCAACGCACTAATCCTCCAATCGTTTCGGAGGGTGAAGTGGGCCCTGGCTGACACTAGCCAGCTGTACCTAACAGAGTGGACACTGAGTGTTTGTATGCGTGTCTGTGTGATCATCCAGGCTTTAGAGGGCAGTACAGAAGTGGAGTTGATTGAGCAGAAGATTCGCAGAAGAGTGGAGCCTGAGCGCTGGCCAATCCCGGGCCTATCTGCTGTGACCACGCCCCCTACTGACTTCTCTCAGCTTGTCCACTGTCCTGAGTTTGTCCCCAGACAAGGATCCTCAGCTTGCCCCGGTGAGACAGGCAGCGATCCGTCGAAGAGGGAAACAAAATGTGATGATAAAACATTTGGGGCTCTCAGAAGTGGCTTGTGGCTGTAATTAAATGCATGATCGGTTAGTAAGGTCACGCTGTGGCTATAGCTGATTCTGTTAAAGGTGTCAATATTATACTGAGGCCTGTGTATTATTAAATGGGGAATTAAGCAGCTTTGGACAACACTGAGTAATAATGATCGAGGTTTAGCTGTACTGGGCAGCATGTGACGTACAGGAGATTTCCAGGCCCTGACTTATGACCTTTGACCTGTGCTATTGCTCATGCAGCTTTGCCCCTCAGCCCCCCACCATCTCCAGTGGCTGACGACACCCAGCTGACCCCTAGCCCACCCGGAAGCCGGACCCCCCCTTGCGAGGAGCCCTCCGCCTGTCTGCCCAACCCGGAGGCCCCGTCCTGGATGCAGGCTGAGGGCCAGCTGCCCACCCCAGGAAAGCCGGTGCGCCTTGTAGGGCGTCGTAGTGGCGCGGGGCCGGTGCGTCGCGTGGGGCGTCGTAGCGGCGTGGGGCGTCGTAGCGGCATGGGGCGTCGTAGCGGCGTGGGGCGTCGTAGCCGGTGCGTCGCGTGGGGTGTCGTAGCGGTGCGGAGCCGGGCCGGTGCGTCGCGTGGGGCGTCGTAGCGCCGCGGGGCCGGTGCGTCGCGTGGGGCGTCGTAGCGCCGCGGGGCCGGTGCGTCGCGTGGGGCGTCGTAGCGCCGCGGGGCCGGTGCGTCCCGTGGGGCGTCGTAGCGGCGCGGGGCCGGTGCTCTGTGTACTCGCTTAAGGTGGCATCCTGCTTCAAAAGAAATCAATGGAATCAATGTCGTTTTAGCTATAGGATTAATATGTGTATCAGTATTTATGATCTATTTTTACTCTTCCTGCTACATTAGAATCAAGGTTAATGCATTTGGTTCAGACTGTCGTGAGGATCATTGGTCAGAAGAATCGATGTAATCTTAGGTGTATTCTTGTACAATGTATACTGAAACAGCTGGAGAATTCCCAGTGATCCGTCCCATACTCTGTACTCCCAGTATGAGTGGCTACTATCAGGCGTCAGTGTAAACTAAACCGTTTCTCTTTCATTCCCATATCTATCATTTGGATCTATCATATTATTTGGAAGAATAGTTGTAAATAACAAAAGAAGTAATGGACATATTTATTTATTTATTTGTTCATTCATTCATTCTATTTTTCTACTTCTTCATTTGTTGTCTTTTGTATGAGGGAGTGGTGTGTCTACCTGTGTTTTGGTAGATTTTAGTTTGTCTGGACATTGCTTGACGTGCACGGAAATATAAATGAATGTAGACTGTGGATTGATAGCAGGACAGCAGACCCTCTGACTGATCACTGGGCTATAATCATGCTGCCGGAATATAGACTGAAAGCAGGATTTTAGGCCGAGGGGTATCAATTGTCTATCTAGCTGCTTGGAGTGGTGCATTGTGGGTATCTGTTTGTGTGTTCCTTCCTGTGCAGGACAGCGCTGCAGTGGCGCTTCAGGCCAGCCAGGGGGAGCCAGAGCAGGAGGAGCTGGACTTCCTGTTTGACGAAGAGATGGAACGACTGAAACTGCGCAGGGACGCCTTCTCCAGCTGGTCCGAGGACGACTCCGACTACGAGCTGGACGACCGCGATGTCAACAAGATCCTGATCGTCACGCAGACTCCCCCGCACCTACGAAAGCATACTGGCGGGGACGGCGCAGGAAACCATGTGACCCGCGCCAAGATCACCCCGGACCAGGCCAAGGCCATCAATGATGGGCTGTTCTGCTATGAGCAGGACCTGTGGATGGAGGAGAGCCAGGCAGACGTCCCGGGCCCCACGGTGAGCCTCAGAACCGACACCGTCTAACGGTGCACTTTGTTCAGTTACAGCAGGGAGATGACGTTCAGCCAGGCTAATTAACAAGCGGCATCGCCCCGTTCAGGTTTCTCCCACTGTAATCCGAACAAGCTGGTTATTAGTGCCGGTACTTTGGCAGCAGCTGGTGTGATCCTGTGTCACTCCCCCAGGGTTTGGCCTGAGTCCTGTGCCTCAGCCTTGAGTCAAACAGCGCCACCTTGTGGAGGTATAAATGCCACACATTTCCAAGGATAATTTGTATTTCTCTGTCATGTTCGGCGGGGTTAAGACAAAAAATGAAGCCTTTCTATAAAAAGCTCCTGGTCAGCCATTATCTTGACAGTCTCATCTAACAAGCTTTTGATTTTAGTGCCACTTCTGCCCTACTTTGGGAGACTTGGGGACCTACTCTGTATTTCTGCCACATTTTGACATCATGTCCATGATTTATTCTAGTTGTAATTTACTGCCTTTCATCTCTTACTCAGTAGTTACCACAGAAACCAAGAAAATGCAATATGTACTGAGGACTTAATGATGGTTCTGAAAGCTTATTTATTCTATCAGAGATGTCTTTTATTTCTGGTTTAGTTTTTCCACAGTTGAGTTCATCTTGTTGATTAGTCTTCAGCTCCATTCGGATATTTTCACCAGCGTTTTATTTCTTGAGAGGGTTTGCGCTGATGTGTATGGTGTCTCCCTCCAAGGAGGAGATGGAAGACTTCAAAAAGTTACATCTGGCCTGTAAAGACGACGTTGTTCACCTGACTCGAGAATCTCCTGTCAATCAAAGCCAGGAGGCCCCACCCACCTTCTCCCAGACAGATACAGGTACTTGGCTTCTTGGTGTTGTGCCATGGTCTCCGACATTTAAGGTGGGATTTTCCATGAATGAAAGCTGCCGTAATGTACCAGGTTATTGCCCTTAATGGTCAATAAAATGTCAATATCAATGCTCAATGTGATTCTGAGAACTTCTGAGAACTCTAATGAGGTTCTCTATATCTGAGAACTCTATAATGAGGTTCTCTATATCTGAGAACTCTATAATGAGGTTCTCTATATCTTAGACACTCCAGCCACCTGTATATTTTTGTCTATTTGATAATTTCATTTTTATAGTAAGACCCGCATAGTCTTTGTTGTTTTTTTAAATTTTGACTGAAGCCACCGTGCAAGAATTCCAGTGTACTTATACTTCTGTACTGTGCAAATGGCAAATACAGTTTCAATTCGGTATCAGTCCTGTTCCATAAAGCTCTGTGACCTTCACAGGCGACTCGGCCAGCAGCCTGAATGGTGGGGAAGCCCTGATTGCGGGTGTGGCCCAGTCCCTTCCTGCCACAGTGCCCAAATCCCCCAAGAAACTGGGTACCGTGGGCACGCCTGGCCGGCACGAGCCAAGCAAGACGCCCCGCTTCTACCCCGTCATCAAAGAGAACGGCAATATTGACCGAAAGGTAGGAGCTCACTGACTCCCTCTTCATCAATATGCCCAGTGCAGTGTGATAATATCGGCATCACAAGTTATGCACATGCCGACAAAGATGGTTTTCTCACACTGCCCCCTGGTGGACATAACTTTTAATCCTCCAGATTGACATAAAGTATGCACAGAAGTAGGTGCAGCAGCACCACTTGCATGGAATATAAACCAGCCTTTAGGTGTTGGTGTCACGCCTGTGGGGGTGCGGGTCTAATTCCTGTGTCTCTTAGACTCCCCGAAAGAAGAAGACGAGGCACAGCTACAATCCCCCGCTGGAGAGTCACGTGGGCTGGGTGATGGATGCGCGTGAACACAGACCTCGGAGCTCCTCGCTCAGGTACTGCTGAACCCGGGAACACACATGCATGTAAGACATCTAAAACAGTGTTTCCCAATCCGGTCCTCAGGGACCCACAGACAGTCCACATTTTCGCTCCCTCCTGGGAGCTGGGAGGGAGCAAAAACATGGACCGGCTGTGGGTCCCCAAGGATTGGATTGGGAAACACTGATCTAGAACCAACAGCACTCAGTGTGGACAGTCAAGCTGGATGGTCGCTCTTAATATTTGGCTCCCTTCCTCGTCACTCACATCCTCTGTAATCTCTCCCCCCACAGTAGCTCCAGCGTGTCTCCCGCTGACGGCCCCCCCCCAGGTGGGAGTCAGGGCTGCACCCCCAGCTCCCTGCCTCAGTTCCATCACCCGTCCCACCGACTCCTGCAGGATAACGGCTTCACACAGCAGGTTTACCACAAATACCGCCGCCAGTGCCTGAGCGGTAAGTCTGACGGAGCCCGGCCAATCACATCACACCCGGCCAATCACATCACACCCGGTCAATCACATCACACCCGGCCAATCACGTCACACCCGGTCAATCACATCACACCCGGTCAATCACATCACACCCGGCCAATCACGTCACACCCGGTCAATCACGTCACACCCGGTCAATCACGTCACACCCGGTCAATCACATCACACCCGGCCAATCACATCACACCCGGTCAATCACATCACACCCGGCCAATCACATCACACCTAGATGGTGTCAATGATACAGGAAACTGCCATAACATAAATACAAGTGTTTTCATCTTATGGCTGCGGCAAATCGTTGTTTGCACAATAATTCACCTCATCTCCCCTATTTGCACAAGATGTCACCTTACTTGTTTTACTGCTTGGTTAAACCAGCTGCTTATAATGATAGATAACAACCTGCAACTTTTAAGGACTCTAATGTAACAGTGGTAAAAATGAAAATCTATCCATACTTAGGGCTACTGGTTCTTTAGTCATATTGGAACACACATTAAATGTCCAGTGTACTCCAATAACTTTTTGTTAGCAGATATGGAAACAGAATTCTGTTGTACCTACAGGTCTGCATTAGATTCCATGAAGATCTGGACTGTTTATGTCACTGCTAACAGCATTTCATTGCCATATTTGTTCATTTTTTATTAATGTGTTTCAGAAAGAAAACGGCTGGGAATAGGTCAGTCGCAGGAAATGAACACTTTGTTCAGGTTCTGGTCGTTTTTCCTGCGCGATCACTTCAACAGGAAGATGTATGAGGAGTTCAGGCACTTCGCGCTGGAGGATTCCATGGAAAGCTACAGGTGAGACGTTATCGACAGGAAGGTAGGGAAGGCGTGGATAAGCTGACGTCAGGCTGTTTCACACGGCTGCGATAAGTTGGTTTTAACGTGATCGTCCCTAGCTGACTAGCTGGGAACAGGGCAGGGTAGCTTGGATTTAGATTTCTGTGAAGAGATGTGTGTTTTTCAACTAGGTCCTCTGTTGTCCTTCAAAGGTATGGCTTGGAATGCCTCTTCCGCTTCTACAGCTACGGTCTGGAGAAGAGGTTCAGGAAGGACATTTTTCAGGACTTCCAGGAAGAGACACTGAAGGATTATGACAAAGGTAGCTGCATAATTCACAGGGTGGGGACCAGCTTTTCACCCCTGCAAGACAGAATTTCCATAGCTTCTCTTAAAATGGTGTTATGGCAGTGAGCAGTGCACACAAGCCTTTCTGTTTGCATGAAACACACGTCAGTGGGCTGCACTTTGTTCCGGAGTAACTGCTTTTCTGTCATCTTCTGCTCCAGGCCAACTGTATGGGCTGGAGAAATTCTGGGCCTTCCTGAAGTACTCCCAAATGAAGAACCAGCCAGTTGAACCCAAGCTGCAGGAACACCTGGAGAAGTTCAGACACCTGGAAGACTTCCGGGTCGATGTAAGGGTGTGTCTGTACTCAGGTGACAGGAATGAGGTCCTAAATTGTGTTGCATTGTGCACGGTTGGTAAAACTGTTACAAAACTGTTCTTGGATAATACATGTATGACGTTTATAGAAACCTGGGACCATATTAGTTATACGCATAAGAAGGTCATAGAAGGGCTATATTTCAGCTGTTAAACAGGCTTGTCATGGGTTCAGAAATACTCTGAAAAGCAGCATTCATAATATCTTTGAAGGAAGTAACCAGATGTGGCCAGGGGGGTGTTTTTAGGTGTAGAATAGCTAGACAATGCCCGCAGTTGTGCGATTAAGCTGTTATTGCCAGGGTGGACTGCAGGATGCTGTACACAGGATTAACTCAGCGAGTGCAACATGCATCTGTATTCTGACACCAAGCTTAGCAGGAGTCTCAACATTTTTCAGTTTTTCAACAAATTGACTTTCAAGTTATACTAAACAGCAGAACAGAACTGGATCTGGATAGGTATCTGTCAAGGTATATTACAGTCTCCGAGATGGCTACAGGTCACGTATTAAAACTGAGATGGACAAAATAGATTTATTGCCAAGGCTAGAAAATTGGTGTAGAATGGCTAGTAAAATAGCTATGAAAGGAGTAATAGATTAGCTATACAGTGACCTAGGAATAGCTATTGAGTGTGTATTGGATTGGCTATAGGAAGGATACTTGAATTAGTCCACAGCTCAGTGTTGTGTGTGTCTGTGTGTGTGTGATGTGTGCACGTGTATGTGGGTTTGCATAGATCACATTTGGGGACCAAAATGTCCCCAAAGTGCGGTAAAACCTGAAACTTCCTTACTTTTGGGGACACTTCTTCAGGTCCCCATTTGGATAACCTCAATTTAAAAAAAAATCTGTGAATGCAATCAAAAAAGTAAAAGTGCCAAAAGTCTTGTATTTTGGTTGGTTACTTACGGTTAAGGTTAGGGATGGGTAGAGGTTAAAGGTGTCATGATTGGGATTAGGGTTTTTCCCTTAGAAATGAATGGACGGTCCTCATTTAGATAAGTACACCAACATGTGTGTGTGTGTCTATGTGTGTGTGTTGCAGCCCCCTATGGGAGAGGAAGCGGACAGAGGAAGACAGCGCTCAGGAGATGAAGAGGGAAGCTCACAGATGCGGGCCCTATCCTGTGGAGCCCTGGGCCCTCCTTCTGAGCCGATCTGCTCCAACACCCTGCTGGACTGAGTGAGAGGCCCATCCTCGGTGAAATCGGCCCCACGTGGCTGAAATCGGGCCTGTGCGCTGCCTGGGATGGCATATTGGGCCCGATGACGGCCCCACTCTGAGTTCTCAAAGCAAGGCCTGTCTGTTTTAGGCAATTGGGCTGACGGCGCAAGGTAATTTTACTGTTTACCATTTCATCACCTAATGATGTACTCTGTAGTTCATTTCATTTATTAGATGCAGTTTATATCAAAATTAGATGGCGGAGGATTTTAAGGAGATTTAAGGTTCATTTACCAAAAAGTGTTTCATTTATTTTCAGTGCTCAGGACGTTTAATGCTTTCTTTTTTAAAGAATGTGCGGTTCCATTCACATGTGATTTTATGCACATGACTGTGGTGCTGTTTGGGGTTAAAATGCCAGGTGGACATGGGGTCGTGCATCGGGCAAACATTCAGCTATATGCAAATGTGCAAATGATGACCAGAGCATAGATTTTTTTTGTGGTTGTTTGAGGTTGAATGGTTGTGCGTTTTAGGTAAAATGGTCTGAAATTACCTATTTAAACAGAGGATAAGTAATAATGATCCCATGAAAACCCCATGAACGTCATACACGCTCAGTGCACTTTAACAAAATGTTAAACAAATTCTTCAAACCCTTTACACTCATAATTATTATTTTTATTTGGGATGTTCTGGTTTGCAAGTTCCTTAGAGGTTTTGCATGGTGTTTATATATTTATTTATGATTTAAGCAAATGAGCACGAATGACAAGCTTGTTTTGTGTGACATTAAGACCACCATACGAAGCGCTACACGCTATGAAAAATGATTAAGTGTGATTCATATGCACAGGCTGCGATTGTGAGCTTTAATACTGCCAAATACCCAATGTCACGTACGAGAAGTCTTGGTTTGAATGTTGTATATAGGAGCAATAGTGTTGAATTTTATCTCTGATTGTTAAAGGAAATGTATGTTTTCTGTGGTATGCATGTTAATCTGAAGTATTTTTTCTAAAAGTATAAAAATGCTCATTAAAAACAACAAAATGATTTTCATAAATTTTAAGCTGTGCGTGACATTCTATTCCAGTACACTTTTTTATTTCAGTGTTCAGATCTGGTTAATCTTAAAATTCATTTAGAACGCGGAAAATGTTGAGACTTAATTCTGCAAACCTCATAACGGAAAACACAGCGGCATCCTGCCTTCTGGTGTTTAATTTTGTTTGATGAAGCACAACACCAAATCAAATTAATTTACATATACAATCCAAGGTTTGTGTTTATAATAGGTCGTTTGTTTTAGCAATTAGTTGTATGTATAGAATTTTGTATACTTGAGCACATGTTAATTAACTTTGTATCATTACAGATCTTATTGTGCATGCGTCCATATCGTTTATCACCATGCAATTCTGCTGAAAGTAACGAAAATATACTTTCCCAACATCGCCACGTCAGTTCAGATGTGATATGCGGTCGAGGCGGCAGATTTATCTCCAATCTCTCCAACATCTCGAGTTCCTGTTAAACAAATAAATATCGTGACACAGATAATTGTCAGGCAGAAGCCATATATACTGCAGTCTCGTAACTTTACGGCCGTCCTCCAGAATATTATTTGAATAATATGATTTTTCTACACAAAGGCAGAACCATTTTTCTCATATGATGATTACTTTACTGAGATAACAGGCTGCTGGGTTATCAGTTTAGATCCAATAACGTGAGACAGAGGTTTCGAAGCCCGCGGTGGGCGGGATTACTTTGTGCTGTCAATCACGTCCCAGTTTAGTCCAATGGGAATCGATAGACTAACCAATGAGTGATTGTGTGGATGATTAACAAGTGCCTTTAGCCCCACCCACCACGGGCTTCGAAGCCCCTGCTTCCCCCGTCCCCATTTAACGCAGCGCGCTGACAGCACGGACCAATCGCCGTCGCGCTACGTCACTTTGGGCGGGAGCGTTGTGGGTAGGCGCTAACGTGCAGTATGGCGGACGATGGGGAGGGTAGGAGTGCGGCAGCCGACACCGCAGGCGGGCAGGGGACAACGGACGAGACAGAAGCGGGCCTCGGACTAGCTGGGATGCTGCTTGATATCACGGTTTTAGTGTTAGTGGCTGTGCTCTGCTACGCGGTCTACCGGCGATGGGGGAGGCGGATGGGCTCGGACGCGGCCGAGGGAGGTGAGGCCTCGCCTCTCCCCAAGATGAGAAGACGGGATTTCACTTTGCAGCAGCTGGCGGAATACGACGGCATCCAGAACCCGCGGATCCTAATGGCAGTTAACATGAAGGTCTTTGACGTGACCAGCGGGAAAAAATTTTATGGACCAGGTAAGGGTATTCCCCGGCCGTGGAAGATCTGATCCCCGCTGGCGTCCCGACGTGGCTGCATGGTTAGCCTGTTAGCCGTGCAGCTAAAAACAAAAAAGAAGCTCCGCTGGCGCTCTTTTCGCGGCGGTACCCCTGCACTTCCCCTGCTGTCCTTGCGCTGCCCGGGTAATGGCGGGTTTTCTGGCGCTGGACGGCACTTGAATCAGACGTGGGGAGCTGGTTTTGCTTCATGCTTATTTCCTTGTTGGTTTTGAAAGCAGTGGCTCCCTGCGTGTATATCACACAGCCCAGACAGCAGCCCCTTTCGCCGTCCAAACTTCACGGATCGGCGTGTCCAGATCTCCCATGGTTTTACCGTTTGGCTGATTAGTAAAGCCCAGTTGTTTTTCGGTAGCTCGCCTTTCTCTGCAGAAAAACAGATGGTGGCCAATGATCAACTAGTTCAGTCTTGGATCCACATGGAGCTATCGGAATTCGGTGTGAAAGGGGTGTATGTGAACGCAGAAGGTCGGTATATCTACTGTGTATACGTGTTTAATTCCGATCAGATCGCCGAATAAAGCGTATAATGAGCTCATTAGTCTGACCTTCCAAACTGCAATGTTTACTCCATGTACAGGCAAGACTAGAAGTCTCCTTGCTTCCATTTGGTTCAGGCAATATGCTCGTCTTTACTCTTGCTAAGGGAGGAACGGTTCTATGCACCCAGTGCTTCAGGCCAAACTCGTCTTGCTCACGAGTCTTTCCACACACTCCCAGACGCCTCCTGCTCTCAGCTGGACCCTTAAAAGATCCAGTGTTTGTGTCTGTTTCTTTCATCCAGCAAAACACGGCCGCGCTGTTTCACCTGTCTGGCATTGGGCAATGAAACGCGTTCACTGATCAGCTGATTTTTTTAAATATAAAATTGGATTATTTATACTTTTCCTGCAGCGCCCTTTCTCACGTGGTCGCCCAGAGGGCTTAAGGTTAAGCAACAGAGAGGTGAACGTGATGGCAGTTGATTGTGCTGTTAAGTGGTGACGCATATTTGTAAGGCAGTTATAGTAGGAGTAGGATTGTGGGAGCATGCCGAGTAGGAATGGCAGGTAAAGGTGACGGTTTGGGGTAGCTGACCGATGGTGCGTCCTGTGGCTTTGTGGTAACTGCTCCGTCGATCTTTGGCCGAGACGTGGCAGCTTTTTCTGAGCTGGTGGGTGGACGTAGCTCTCATCCTTTTCTCCTAACCCCCCAAAATTTTCGGCATGTAGTATTTTTGTCTTGGTTTGCTTTTGATAGTTTATTGCTGTTTTCTTACTTACTCCTTTTATATTGTTTTGCGTACTTCCTTAAGCACAATGCAGGAAGTAAGTGGAGAAGCATTCCACTGCACAATAATACCGTGTATGATTGTGTATGTAATGGGTACAACTTGAAACTTGTTTTACTTAATGCCATTTTTTTGTCTTCAAAAATAAAGAGAATTTCCTCTAGATAGACCTTTGCGGGGGGATGTAACCCTGAGTTGGTGTGTGAGCCCGTGCACCTGAAACCACCTCTCAGTTTTATTTCCTCATAGTTTACGTCCAGCTGGCTGTGAGTCTGTTGGCTCAGTGCTGCTGCACGTTCCTACATTTTTTTTGCCCAGACTCATGTGTTCAGTGGTCCTGCTGATTACATGAAGGTTTATCTTTGAGAAGCAGTTTAATGCATAACCAGAACCTGAGCAACTTTGCGGATGTCTTGTGTAATGCCTGATTATCATTTGCTGCTGTTTTATCCAGACTTGATAGTGAAATAACTGTGTTTTGATTGTCACCCCTTAGCTTCACTTTGGTTTAATGTTTAAGTAACGTTTAAGACTTTCGCTAAAGATTTTGCTGTATTTTACAGGCTCATCTGCCTGCTGTAAGTGTTGTGAATTACCTTCATCCCGATGAGCGTCTGTTTTCTGCTGGTCGACTCCGGGGTACGAGCCAGGAGTCCGCTGTCTAGGGAGTGCGTGTCCTTATGGGACAGAAATGTCCAGCCCTGCTTTGGTGCTACATAAATGGCCACTGATCTAAGGAGCGGCGGGTGACAAAATAAAACCCACAGCAAGTCAGCACTATGCTGCTATCATGTGGGGGGGTGGCGCTGGAGGGCGGGGCTGGAGGGGACAGGGGCGTGGCTATGAGAGGGGGCCGACAGCTGTTCTGGAGTGCCTGTTCTGGGCATTTCTGTGCCATTGCTATGCTTAAGTGCTGTTACAGAGCCTTGCGATAGAAAGACAACATTGCTTTGGTCTCTGAGATGCCAAACCTCTCTGCCGTTCTCTGTCTGTGGCATAGCTGTTCGCCCACCCTTCCTGGGAGTCTCTGCTGTTCTCTGTCTGTGGCATAGCTGTTCGTCCACCCTTCCTGGGAGTCTCTGCCGTTTCCCTCAGCTGGCATGTGCCCAGGGGTCCTTTGATTGGTGAGAATTATTACAGTACAAAGATCCTCTGTGAAGTGATTGGTCAATCAGTTGCTGTCTCAATCCCACTGTGCCCCCCGTCCTCCCCCAACCCTAAAGGGAACTCTGAGCTGCTGCTGGATGGCTGTCAAGGGAGTAGTCTGGTTTGCGGCTCTTGTATCCTGCAGAAAGGCCCAGTGTGGAGTAGGCATGTTTGGCTTTGGGGTGTCTACACATATGCCTGTTGGGAAATGTTTATCGATCATCCTCCGTCACCTGGTAGCGTTGCGGCTGCCTTGGCTCTCAAAGCAGATATAGTTCCCTGTGGCTGTGCTTTAAAAGTCACCCCCATCTGAAAGTGTTGCCCCAGCAGCTACATCCACCCTTACTGGCTGACCTCTGTCCTGTGTGATCTTTCTGGCTAACTGTCCCCCCTCCCCCCCCTTTACAGACGGCCCGTATGGGATCTTCGCGGGTAGAGATGCCTCCAGGGGCCTGGCCACCTTTTGCTTGGAGAAGGACGCACTGAGGGACGAGTACGATGACCTGTCAGATCTGAACGCCGTGCAGATGGAGAGCGTGCGCGAGTGGGAGATGCAGTTCATGGGTAAGTCTGAGTGCATGTGAGGGTTTATGGGATTGAAAACCCAGCTCTGGCTGATGTCTGACTATTGCAGCGAACCAGCTGCCTGTCATTCCATATTTAGGGGGAGGGTGAGTGTGAGCTCAGGATTTATTGCATGCCCCTCCTCCATGTATATATTGACATTGTCAGGGATCATTAAAGGACAACTGAGGTAGACAGTCAGGCTCAGATGTGGCTCCAGAGAGTCGCGATGAGATTGTTACGATGAATCTCCTCCGCTGACTGAAAGCATGTGTCCCATGCGTCACGTGCACGTGAGTTTTGGTTGGTCTGCCTTCACGCAGCGCTTGTGTAAGGTTCCAGCACCAAAGGTTGAGGGCGTCGCAGAGAAACTGCCCGCTCATACTCCTCTGCACACTCCCTTCTCTCCACTGATGTTGTGTACATCTGGTCACCAGCTGTCCTGGTCCTCAACCACAAAAACACAAGAGTATCTGTGTAAAGAAGCTCAATGTTACAGACATGTGGTCCGACTTCATTTTCGTCTATGTAAAATAGGCGGTATGACCGGTTTTGTGTCCGGATTACACATGCAGATACACTCGCAGTCTGCGTGCAGAGAAGTATGTCCAGGCTTTTAGAGAGTGTCAGCTGAAGGGGACGTTGGTCTCAAGGCTGAGGGCCAACTGGGGAAAGGGCCAGACGTGGTGATGACCTGTGGTG